AAAGCCACGAAGGGGAAAGACTGGGGAGATTAGGGTTTTTGGGGAATAAAAGTTGCTTATTATTATTGATAAGGGTTGGTCCCTTTAAATAGAGTTTCCCCATTCCTAATTAATCTAATTTTCTACCCTGTCGGTTCAAGAAAAGCATCGAGGTAAAGAACCGAAAAGAAACCCTCGAAGGAGCTTATAAACCGCTCACCTAGTAAAAATCTACGTTACAAAATATTAATAAAATATTAAACATAATCTCGGTATCGTCGGGGTGGCCCGACGTTCCTCCTTGGCCGTACGGGTGATGGGTCGCCGCCTGGTTCCATATCCTCCTCATGTACGGTATCAACTCCCCTGCCCACGGAAATCGCCTTGTCCTCAAGGCGAAGATCGGGATAGTGTTGTTGGAGAGCTGATGCCGGTTCCCACGTCGCATCAGTATCGGTGCCATCGGACCAACGAACTAGCCACTGCTCTTGAGCAACCCCATCCACCAGCACGGAGCGCCTATCCAACACGGCCGTAGGGACCGAAACTGGTCGCCCCTTAAAGAAAACAGCAGGCAGAGCAGAGGTGGGGATGGGTTGATCCCGCTGGATAAACGGCCGGAGTAGGGAGACGTGAAAAACGTCATGGATTTGACTCCCCGCCGGTAATTGCAGCCTGTAGGCGACAGGCCCAACCTGTTCTATCACTTTGAAGGGCCCATAAAATCGTCGAGAAAGCTTGGTGGAGAGCGGCCGAGCAACGGAGTGTTGCCGATATGGTTGAAGCTTCAACAGAACCAAATCACCCACGCCGTAGGACACCTCACGCCGATGCTGGTTTGCCCTGGACCGCATGCGCTGCTGCATTTTAGACAAATGGAGTTTTAAATCTTCAAGTAATGCTGCCTGTTCCTTAAGCATGTCCTCCACGCTGGCGACTCGGGAACTGACCAGCATAGTCGCAAATATCGTCGGGGGGGGTGCGACCATATAACGCCTGAAACGGGGACATGCCAATCCCTTCATGATGACTACAATTAAGTGCCAATTCTGCCCATGGAAGCAAAGCCGCCCATCGAGCCGGGCGTTCATATGTAAAGGCACGGAGATATTGCTCCAAGGTCCGATTGACGACCTCGGTCTGCCCATCCGTCTGAGGATGATATGATGTACTATACTTCAACGAAGACCCACTCAAGCGCAGTAACTCCCTCCAAAAAAAACTCAAAAATATGGGGTCGCGATCAGAAATGATATCCCCCGGAAAGCCGTGATGTTTCACCACTATGTCAACAAATAACTGCGCGGCTTTAGGGGCGTCGAAGCCAGCGACCAATGGCCCGAAATGAGTGTATTTGGATAGCCTGTCAACCACAACCATGATAGCCGAGAAGCCGCGAGACGGGGGAAGACCCGTTACGAAATCCATGGAAGCAGAGTCCCATACCCGCTCCGGAATGGGTAGAGGCTGCAGCAGTCCCGCGGGCTTGCGGGTGGAATACTTAGTGGCCTGACATGCAGGACACGATGCCACAAAGGCACGCACCTCGCGTCGGAGACCCGGCCAGTAAAAGACATCGGCAATACGGCGGAAGGTTCGATCAACCCCCTGATGACCCGACACTAGAGTACCATGAAATTCATGCAAAATCTGATTTCTCAAGGATGAAGAGGGGCTGATATACAGACGCCGCTTATAATAAAGGATGCCGGAATTTGAACTAATGTCGGGAGGAGCCGTACCGTTACCAATAGCCGCATGCAGGTCCCTTAGGTCAGGCAGTGTATCATTCTCCTTCCGAAGTTCATCCATGAGTAGTGGTACGGCTTGCACGCTCAAGGAGTGGAACATGGCTGTATCCCGCTCCTCTTCCCGGCGAGACAGTGCATCCGCAACCCGGTTGGACGACCCCCGCTTGTACTCAATTCGAAATTTGTATCCCATCAGTTTTCGAATGTAAAATTGTTGATCTGGGGTTTGTATGACCTGCTTTAAGAGCTCCTTCAAACTGCGTTGGTCACTCCGAATAACGAACTCCCGGCCCAGTAGGTATTGACGCCATTTTTGAATAGCTTCGACGATGGCATAAAGTTCCTTGTGATAAGTGGACGCCGCCCGACGCCGCGGTCCGAGTTTTTTGCTAAAGAACGCCACGGGATGACCCTGTTGCAATAATACGGCGCCAATTCCTGTGTCCGAAGCATCGGTCTCCAAATAAAAAGTTTGACGAAAATCCGGAAGCCGCAAAACCGGGGCTGTAGTCATGGCCTCTTTGAGGCGTTCGAAGCTGGTAGTTGCTGCACGAGACCATAGGAAACTGTCCTTCTTCAATAAATCGGTTAATGGCGCGGCTATAATAGCATACCCGGCCACGAATCGCCGATAGTATCCAGTGAGGCCGAGAAACCCACGAAGCTGGGTCGCGGTAGAAGGTAGCGGCCAGGCGGTCATTACGGCGATCTTCTCGGGGTCTGGCTTGAGTGTACCACCGGTAATGAGATGGCCCAGATACCCAATAGTCTTCTGACAGAAGGAACATTTACTCAATTTTACAAAGAAGTGGTTCTCCTGAAGAGTGGCTAACACAGTACGTAGATGTTTCGCATGATCCGTGAGAGTCGGGCTATAGACCAATATATCGTCGAAGAAGACAATCACAAACTTGCGCAAATGCATGCAGAAGAGTTGGTTCATAGCCGCCTGAAAAGTCGATGGAGCATTTGTCAGACCAAAGGGCATAACCAAAAATTCATAGTGGCCTTCATGGGTACGGAAGGCCGTCTTAAAGATATCCGAGTCATGCATCCGGATTTGATGGTACCCCGAGCGAAGATCCAATTTAGTGAACACCTCCGCCTGGCCCAGTTCATCAAAAAGTTCGTCTGCGGTTGGAATCGGGAAATGATCGGGTATGGTGGCGGCATTGAGGGCGCGGTAATCCACACAAAAACGAAA